TTTTTTTTTTTTTTTTTTTTTTTTTGGTGGAACTGGGCATAGAACTCAGGCCCTTGCGCTTGCCAGGCAAGTGCTTATTCTGCTGATCAGAATCCTGTTCTTTTTTCTCTAAATGTCTTTCTTGCCAAAGTCCTTCCTGATTTAGAAGGAATTTATGTAAGAGTTGTAACTTATACAGCCTTTGTTCTCAAGGGAGTTTGGTACTAGTTCTACTTCAGCCCCTGTGTGGTTGAGTGACCTTAACTATAAGGGTTTCCCTCCCTGGGGCTCAGTTTCTTCCCTGCAGGACATGGAGGTTGAGCTGAAGGGATGTTGTGAGAGTGTTGTGGACTTTAGGCATTCATTAAACAAGGGTTCATGAGCACTCCTGAGAGAGAGCAGCCTCTCTGTAAGTTTTGCTGAAAGGCTCAAAGCATCAGGCACAGAGCTTTCATGTCACACATTTCACAAGTGGGTTTTTTTAATTTATTAAAGAAGAATCTATTTTTCAAGGAATTAATTTTCTGAGAAATTTTGTGCTAGATATAATACTATCACTGGTAGCTCAGGGATGAGCGAAGCCAGGCAAATATTCCTATCCTTTTGGTGTGATGTTTAGGCCTTAGAGAGAGAATCCCCAACTAAAGATCTACATGAATAGACATGTGGCCATGAAGGGCTGAAGGGATAACATGGGGTGGGGAGCTCCAAGTAAGAAGGCTTCTTTCATACCTCAGGGAGATCAGGAAGGATCTTCTAGGGCAGTGACAGACAAGGGGCTCAAGAAGAGGCAGTGATGGGGAGAAGTAAGCTCTGAATGCATGCAAGGTGCTAGGTTCCCATCTAGCACAGTGACTTGGCTGGTCACTGACTCTGCCTGTGACTTCCTCATCTTTAAAAATGGGACTCAAGGACTCACATCAAGACCCTTTCACAGTTCTTGTAATACTTCAGGTGGATTTCATGTTTGACAGTGCCCAGCATGACGCTGACAAAGTACAACTTCGTTTCATTTCTAAGAATAACCTTGGAAGCAGAGATGTACTGATATGGTAATGGGTTTTTAGCTTGGGAGAAAGAATGAATGCAATTTTGAGACTTCTCTCAAAAAGTTTTTGACTACATTTTGCCCTGGGAGATGCCTGCCTTCCCTTAATCATGAAGCTATATTTGAATCACTTAACTATAAAACCCTGGAATAACCTTGCTGCATGATTAGTGACAGAACCCTAAGGCTTGAAAACTGGCAAAAATTTAATGTCCCTGGCCTGACCCCTTGACATTTGCACTTGAGAGAAAGAGGTTGGATATATGAACAGCACTGCAAAGAGAAACACCCACTGCCCCACGGTCCTGTGCTTACTGGTCTTGTCTTTGCTTGACAGTGTCCAATGCCATGGAAACTGGGTACTCTGAGTTCACTGCTGCTACAGTTCCTCCTCCAGATAAACCTAGGCTGGGCGCTCTCATAAGTCAAGGTCTGACAACTCCTCTTTTAATCTTACAAAAGCAAACAAGAGGACAGAAATAACCCATCAAATGTTTAAAACTGAAATGGCCAACAATAATAAATTATTGCTACAATAGCTTGAGGTCAGGGTCTTAATTTATTGGAGGCTGTTCAAGAATCTGAAACTCTTCTCTAAGTTAATTTTTTACATCTTGTTTGGATCCTCAGAGCTCTTGCTTCCAATCCAAGGCCATCAAGTTTCTCGTTGTACATATTATTCTTGTTGATGTGCCAGATACGCAGGAGACTAAGATTCCCTTCCAAAGATGGGTGATGATGATTCCTCCTCTTAAAATTTGTATTTCAAAGTACTGAAGCCTGTTGAGAGTTTCAATAGTTCTCTTGTCTTTCATGCTGTATTAGCTGTATTAATGGTTGGAAATGACAAAAATGTGTGCTGGTTAGTTGAATCCGAAAAGGAATTTATTGGAAAGTCTTCAGCACAAAGACCAAAAGCCAGACTGGAGAGATAGCTTGGTGGTCTAAACGCCTGCCTGGCAAGAGGGAGGACCCAAGTTCGATCCCCAGTACTGCATGCTGTGCCAGCTCCAGAACCCCAGACACACCATGCCAGCCCCAAAACCAGGCGAGGTGGCTCTCACCTGTAATCCCAGCAGTGGGGAGGCTGAAACAGGAAGATCACTATGAGTCTGAATTGCATAGTGAGACCTTGTATCAAAAAAAAAAAAAAAAAAAAAACCTAAGGTACCAATATAGGCAGAAAATAGGGGTGGCCAGGCTTAGCTCAGGATACCATCTCTGTCCTTTGGCAGCCACCTCAAATAATCTCAGAAGGGCCCAGGCCTTTGTGTATGCAATGGTCATAGCCCCATGTGAGTTAAGGTCACTTGAGCACTCTTAGATCACATGACTGTACTTAGCTGCCCACACCCAGGTGACCATAAAGTGGAGAGAAAGTCTGCCCTCTTTTTGTTGATACTTTCCTCCAATCTGTCTTGAGAGTTTTCCAAGCCAAGTAGATGTCAGAATACTGAGCGGCCAGAAGTAGTAACTTCCCAGTGTGCAAATCCTCACTCATCTGCTTCATCTTATCTTCCAATAGCTGAGTGGCCACTGATATGAATTTATTTTTTCCAGAGCTCATATCTCACAGTAAATCACTAATCACACGTACATTTGCGTTGTTACCCTCCTCCTGGGCTCATTCTCATCAGACCATCCCTGGAAAATTAGACCTGGCCACTGGAATTAGCTATGTGGAGGTCACTGGTGACTTTGATCTGCACTCATTCCTAGCACACCCTGTCTAGTCAGTTCTGAATGCACACCTTCAGCCCTCATGCCTTCTTCAGTGAGGACCTCATCCTTCGTTGTCCTTGGCCAGTTCACTCCTGTATTCTCCTGGGCCACTATTTCCTTTCATCTCCTCATCCTTCAAAGCTTTATCTTTCTTCTCTTCACCATCCCTGTCTCTGATTCTTCTTCCAATTCATTGTAGAATGGAAGTAATCACAGAGGAACCTGCGTGCTCTTTCTGCCTATCCACCACAGCATCTGCAGGGTGTGTGTCTTATGCTCAATTTTCTTCCCTCGCACTTGCCTTTCTATTTGCTCATCAGACCCCACTCTGCAGTTGTCTCTGTCATATCATTATTATTCCATTTGTGGGGGATCCATTGCATTGCATGCACACCTCCCTTGAGTACTCTTCTTCCACTAGCTACCATACTATTTTTCTGCCCCTTTATACAGGATAAAATAACTTCCTAGGATAGTTGTCTGTACTCACCATTCCCATTTATTTTCCTGTGTCCCTTAAACTATTCTGGTCAAGCTGTCACCCTAGCACTCCCACTACACTGTTCCTATCAAGGTTACCAGTGACCTCCAAATAGCTAATTCCAGCAGCCAGTTCTAATTTTCCAGGTTATTTTGATCTGCCTGCCATGTTGTACTAAGCTGGCCAGTCCTTCCTGAGAATTTGTTTCCCGTGTTCACTGAGATCCTGTCTCCCTCAGTTTTTTCCTATCTCCTGAGCCTCTACTCCTTGGTTAGCTTTGCTTCCTTGACCTCTCTTTAGGCTCCTAAATGTGAGACCACTTCTCTCTTTTCTCTCATTCCTAGCATCCTATCTAGTCAGTTCTGAATTAGATCTCCGCCCTGATGCCATCTTCAACTCAGCTGCCTCTGTATCTCCTTTAAAATCCAGTACTTATTTGGATTTTCTCTGGTAAAGTTTCTCTGCCCATAGCCTTTCCATCTCACTGAATGACAAATCATCTTCTTGATGAATCCAAAAACCTGAAGCTATCTTCGGCTCTTCTTTCCCTAAACCCTTCCTATAATCTCTATGAAAAAGCTATTGGTTCAACCTTCAAAACATACTGAGAGCATGACTTCCCCTCACTGCCTCAGCTGTCCCTGCACTCTCTGCGCTGTCTCACACCGGAACTACTGCAGGAACTTCCTCACCAGGCTTCTTGCTGCTCCCCTCACTGTGCTGTGGGCTGTTGCCATGACAGCCAGCGTGAGTCTCTCTCAAGGGGTATGTCAGGTCACACTGCTTATTGGTCCTACGTCCTGGGAGGGCTCCTGTTTGGCTGACTCTGGAATGCAGTTGATGGTCCACAGGCCTGTCCCACCTCTTCACCTATCCAAGCTCATCTCTTCTTGCTTGCTCCTCTCCAGCTGCACTAGCCTCCTTCCTTCCTGTTCCTTGAACACATCAGGGGCTCACCTGCCTCAGAGATGTTGCTTCACTAGGCTCCAGATCCTGCACGTCGTGTTCCTCTTCTTTTTCTAGGTGCTTACTGAGGGTCACTTCATCAGTGATGCTTTCATTATCACTGTATTTAAAATCACAACGCACTTCCAAACCTCCTGATATGTTCTCTAATATGATAATTATAAATTAAATATTTTACCCTATGTGTTTCCTGTCTTCTTGAGCTACAAGACCTCTGCTTTGTTCAATGCTTTTTCCTTAACATGTGGTGACCAGAATGTAGTAGGTGCTCAAAATAACCAAATGAATGAATTAATTCCATGGATTGATTATTAAGTGTTACAGTTTTGCAAGTCTCAAATGGAAGATTTCCTTAGCCACACAAGAGTCTAGTGTTTGGCAAAGCAGAGCCATGTGTTTTAGGTGGGGATACCATGGCATGTGGTAACAACTGCCCAGGACGTGTGCCTGGTTGGTGGAGTTCCTGGGTCTTGTAGTTCTGATTCCAGTTTCTGCCCCCACCCTCAACAACCCTGACGCTTCATGTTATATTAACGTAAACCTCAGAGTATTAATTGCTGTTTATTTTTCATTGCAGTATTGATGAGAAAACCCCCTATCTAGCTTTAGGGGCTGTGAAGAATATCTCCCTAAACATCTCCATCTCCAACCTTGGGGATGATGCCTATGATGCTAATGTGTCCTTCAATGTGTCCCGGGAGCTCTTCTTCATCAACATGTGGCAGAAGGTAAGAAAGACGTCCATGAAATAGACATCTGCTCACTTGACTGTATAGCTTGGAGCATGCATTGGTTCTACAAAGACTTTATAAAGAATATTGGGGATTTTTGGAATTGTTTTTTTTTTTAAACATCCTGGACTCAACTTATGTTAGGACAGCTAAAGACACAGCCATAAATACCCTGGATTAATATCAGTATCTTCCATTGTCTCCCATTCCTTTCCTCTTGTGAACCGTCCTGCTCCGGCTTTATATCTGGTTCCTTTTCCAAGTCAGTAGTTACTGTCTCCAGCACATTCATGTTCTAGAATAGTCTAGTTTTAGTTGTGAAAAATTAGTAAGGACAGACATATCACTGCTTATCATTCTGTTATCTTAAGTAATATACTTTATGTTTTCTTTTAGACAGTCATGTATATCAGCCCACACTTTGACATATTTATTTATTCCTGCTGTATTCAAGTGAACTGAGGAAATTGAATTATTTCCATGAACTGAGTGAGGTATTTTAAAGAGGATGGATTTATTTGAATGAGTCAAGTATAGATAGTATGACTCAAGAGAAAAGAAGTTGATGTTATCTCTCTCTCATGACACCCCTCAATTTTGGGTAATGAGAAGGAGCAGGCTCCTCAGTGAGCAGCTGGGGACAATGATTGAACTCATGCAAGACCCCCTCAGTGCAGTGGCTCTGTTCAAGCTGCTCAGATTAGAATCCTTCCAGCTCTTCTCAGCATGTACAACAGTGAGCTGTGGCACCTTGGCTCTGTGTTAAAGGGAATGAAAATTACTGTCACCCTGCACCCTCACTGAGCACATCTGTGTCCCTGGGTGCACATTGGAGCAGGCAGGAAGCTTCTTGTTCAAGCAGTCATCCTGCCAGGCTCAACTATTGTGACAAGATTGTACCAACTTTACTGAGCCTAGGGGGCAACGGAACCACACAGAGCCACCCAGAACTCTCAGAAATTTCCAAGAAGTCATCTCAAACTCTACTATTTAATAGCTCTCAGAAGCCTCTGGGTTGTAGGCCACAAAAGTACTCAAAGACTGGAGATGTGGGTAGAGGGGTTTACTCAGACCAGACCTAGGTGACTCAGCACCATGGTAACTAAAGGAGGTGGTCAGCAACTGGGTCATTAGGCATGCGGTCTCCTCCCACTCAGTACCTAGAGCAGAGATTTCTCTGTGGCCTTGGGCTTAGAAATAGCTATCCTTTTCCTGGACATTTTGATTTGGTTTGTTTTTTTGTTAACCTCTAGACATAGTCTGTGACTGAATAGACTTCATTCTTGCTATCAGCTGTTAGAAAGTTTAGAGCTGGCCTCTGTCAATCTATAGAATGTGGCATGTATTTTATTAAATATATAGCTCCCTGCATCTTGCTTTGCTTCCCTTCATCATGTTTTTTCTATGTGGATTGATAACTACATAATCTGCTGCCATATAGATACATTATACATCATCTTCAAATTTCTCTTATTACATAAATTATCTCAGTATTTTAGATGCTGCATAATAATCCTCCACATGGATATAATGAATTGCCTACAAGTTCTTAATAGATATTTAGATTATTTATAGCTTTTAATTTTCTTGTAGATAATATTGTCATGCATCTCCCCATTTCATCTTCACTGCATGGGATCCAGTGTATGTAACTTACTGATGAGTGCTCTCAGCAGATGATGATGGAGGGAGGAGGCAATATAGGAAAGGGGAAAAGCTGTGCTATCAGGTCAGATCTAGCCTTGATCTGACATATGGGGTAGAAAGAGGTTGAGGGTCTTAGCAGACGTATCCCCAGTTGAAGTTACAGAGGACAGCATCTTTTTCTACTCCTACATCATCATTAGCCACATAGCCAAGGACAGTGCACCTCCTTCCTTTGTGGGCAAGCAGGCTCTAATCAGCCCAGGGTAGTGTACCTGAGAATGACACAGGCCCGCATCACCAGTCACTGTAGCTGACTGTGGGGAACTTGGAGATTGCAGCTGGGAAGAAAGTTGACAAGGGGTCAAGGGCTTTTTGGAACGTGGTGAACATTTTTATAAGAATGGTAGCAGGGCACAAAAATGTGAAGGTGTATGGAGGTGGAACACTCAGAAAAGCAGAGAAGTAGCATGACCCCCAGTGCAGTAGGGAAAAGAATGATAAAAAAGCCAAGTTCCCTCCCATGACAACCACACTGAAGGTTGATCAGCCAGGGACATGAGTGGCTTCACCCCAATCAGGGAAAGCTGCTCCTAACACGTATGTGGGGAGTGAGATGTAGTGAGTGATGGAAAGCTCACATAGCTTTTTAGCATGCATAGACCTAGCAGAACCAGCACAGGGCCCACAGAAATGTTCTATCACATAAACCAAGAGAGGCACAACTCCAGTTACAGGTGGAAAGCATAATTTATAAAAACTTTATTAATAGAGAACAAAAGTAAAATTTCCAGAGTATCCACTTTTTTTTATTTTAAATGGAATAGAAAAATAATAGGTAAGACATTAGAAACAATACAGTTTTAAGAGAACACGAAAGGTATCCAGCAGTCGTGTTATATTGCACATTGTTGTCTTCAGTGTAGTTGCTGCCAGATATAAGTATGTAAAATTGGCCAAAATAAAAATTTTAAGCTTTAACTGGTACCTTCAAAAACCCAATAGAAATTAGCTTAGCTATCCTGTGTATATACAGACATGATTTTTTTCTTCCTTTTTTTCCCTTTCTTTTCTCCTTTCCCTCATCCCAATTGTTCATTCCTTTTTTTTTTTTCCTTTTTACTATGTCTAATGTATCTTTCAGATTTTTATTCTTTTGCGTTCTTACACTAGGGAAACAATATGATATTTACATATGTGGATCTGATTTATTAAGTATAGCCTCTAGTTGCATCTATTTACATAAAAAAGCCTCAAGCTTATCTTTATAGCTGAGTAATACTCCATTGTATTAAAATGTCACATCTTTTTAATCTGTACCTCACTTGATGGGCATTTGGGTTGTTTGCAAGATTTAGCTATGACAAGTTGTGCTGCTATTAACATGGATGCACATACATCACTGTGGTATGATGTTTTCAGTTCTACAATAATACCCAGAAGGAGAATAGCTGGGTCTCATGGAACTTCTTATCCTAGCTTTTTGAGAAATCTCCACACTGATTTCCATAGTGGTTGCACCAGCCTATACTCCCACCAACAGTGGAGAGCAGTTCCTTTTCCCCTCAGGCCTCTCCCTCCAGCATTTGTTGTTAGGTGATTTCTTGATAATAACCATTCTTTCTGGGGTGATATGAAATCTCAGTGTTGTTTCAATTTGCATTTTTCAAATGACAAGTGCTGATGAACATTTTTTCATATATTTATTTGTTGTTTGTGTTTCTTCTTCTAAAGTGTGTATTCACTGCAGATGCCCATTTTGGATTGGGTCTTTGAATTTTGGAGGCCTGATTTTTTTTTTTTTTTAGTTCTTTGTATATTCTAGATAAAAGTCCTTTCTACCTACTCCTATGTCTTCAAATTTTCTGCCTACTTTCTCCTCCATTAGATTTAGTGTTTCTGCTTTAATGTTTTCTGCTTTAGATCTTTAATCCATTTTGACTTTAGTTTAGTGCATGGTGATAGCGGATCTAGTTTCAGATTTTGGCATGCAGAAAGCCAGTTTTTCCAGCACCATTTGTTAAAGGGGCTCTCTTTCTTCCAGGGAATGTGATTGGCCTGTTTGTTGAAGACAAGGTGTCTAAATGTGTTTGTAGTTGTGTCTGCATCTTCTAATCTGTCAGCACATTCACTTCTGTCCTTAAGGAAACTCAAGAAAAGAATGACAGTGAAAGATTAGGCAGTTAAACAGTAGAAAAGGATAAAAATGGAATGAACTGGGCGTCAAACAAAATTACAGGTTGTGGGTGGGATAAGGAAATGTTCTGAGATCAAGAAAGCAGTGGCAGATTCAAATTGTGTGCGATGAGCAGGAAGGAGCTGCAGCAGCAGGAGTTGGATTCATTGTTGTGGAGGTGTATTTGAGAAGATCTGTGAGAATGTGGAGAGAAAGAACAAAATAGTGCAAAAAGATGACAGTAAAGACTATGATATGAAAGGTGGAAATTGGAGAATCAACAAAGAGAAAGTGGTTTAAAAAATGCTGGAATAGATGACATGAGCAAAATCTACTCCTTGGACATAAAAGAAACTTCTCCATTTGTTAAATGACTGCTGCAGATAATCAAGCAAAGCTATTAAAAACACTTGAATGTTTATACATGTATTTATGAAATTTGAAGGATATGAAAATTATGCCACCAACACTTGACACAAAACAAAGAAACCACTTTTCTAGAACTGCTCTATAATATTAATGCCAAAAATTAGAACAATCTAGTCTACTGTGAATTCAAAATTCTACAAGCTGGCCAACTTGTCCTCCATTGTGAAATCAAAAGAAGGATACTTTCAGATGCTCCTACTGACTGGACAGCCTATTTTGGCTTCCTCCGGAAATAGACCCTGGTGCAATGATGTGGGTGTGCATGGTTTAATTTAGGTCCACTTGGCACAAGGTCTTGGTTTTTCTTGACTCTGTGGTATGGGAATGGATGTGTTCAGACAGCAATTATTGAGTGCTTGCTAAGTGCCAGGAGCTCTACTAGCCACTATTAGTCTCAAAGATAAGATCTATTTCCTCTTCCTGGGAGCTCACCCCTTAAGGGCGAAAAGCATATCATCACATAGTTAAAGCATGAGGTGCCAGCTGCCCTACAGAGGTGCTGAAAAGCTCCTTTGAAGGAAAATATGTCAAGGTGATGCCAGCCATTACTGTACCAGCTAGTCCCATGTTGAGCAAAATTCTTGGGTAAATCCTTGGGGCATGTGGGTGAACCTCAGACAGAACTGCTGTGAGCAGTGATGTGAGCTGGGGAGAGCCAGGCCTGCTTATGCAGCTGGTACAGGCAAGAGTTTGGCTGAGAGGACCGAAGAGCACAAGGAGGGCTTCCCAGCAGAGTGGAAGCATGCTG